CTGCCAAGATTTTTCCAAGCCTTTTTCAGCCCGATATCCCTAAAACTTATTTTTTAAACAATTTTAATTTAATTTGAACAACCACTTGCCTTTTATCTTTTGTAAACAGTTTCATGATCCTTCTCTTCCCCTGTTTTACTTTCCATCCTTCCTTCTCCTATGTTCCTTCTTGCCTGTTTTTCTTCTCCTCCCATCTAGAGTGCAACTGCTCGTGATTTCCTCCTGTCCTCAGACATCGAGGGTTTGTGGGTCAGCGTCTCCATCAGTTTTTGACCATACGTTTCTTCTCTCTCTGCTCAGGCCTTTCCACTGGAAGACATGGAGCACGTTTCTAACAAGGATGATGTGAAGACCTCCCTTAGGAAAGTGGTGAAAGAGGTGAGAAGTGGATATTGCACGTTAACGAGCGGTCGGGGAAGATCGCATTGGGGATGTGCCTGGAGAGCAAAGGAAGCTTAAACTGTGGGCTGCAGGTGAAATTACTTGGAGAGAAACTCTGGGTGAAAAGGCCGTGGTATTCAGTAGCCACTCTGTGTCCAGCTATGAAATACTTTGTAGGAATAGAGGTTTACGACGAACAACGGATTTCAAAAGAGGGACCCAAAATGCGTTTCACTACACTAAGGGAAAGGGCCTGAACTGCGCAGGTGGCAGCTTTTCATACAGGTGTGGTTTTTTCCCTCCCCTTCCCAGACATCTCATGAGATGCTGATGCAGTGCGTGTCCCGGGTTGTCTCACATCCGCTGCATGGTAAGTCCTGTCCCCCTGCCTGGCAGCCCGCTCCAGACTGAAGATCGCCCCAAAGCCCCGTTTACTCGACGCGCTTCTCTATCAGAAATGGGTTCATATGACACCGCAGAACAGACGCAGGTCCGAGCGGTGGCTTAGGGAGGCTGACACTTGGGTTGGCCTTCAGGGACTAACCCAGCCGAGCGGCGAGGTGCTCTCTTCCCGTTCATCCAAGAGCTTGTCCTGGAGATCCTATTGAGGTTAGGGCCAGAAATCCTTCCCATCACCTACAGTCTAGGGGAGGGCACCGGTTTCTAATGAGTCTCGCAGTGATGAGGACCACCGAGAGGAGCTGGAGGTGATGCGAGTTGAGGGAAGGGAGGGCAGAAGGGGCAGGTTGCATTTTCCTTCACATCCATTGCAACCCAAACTGGATTTGTTTCTTTGTCAGCCCTGTGTTTCTTTCCTTGTAGTGATCTCCATGCGCTGCATGGTCCAGTTCGTAGGCCGGGAAGTTAAATACAGGTGAGTGGCTGCAGCTCCAAAGGGTTTGGGCACACAGAAGTGCGAGTCCTGGAGTCAGCCGTGCCAGACGCTCCCACGCAACGGGGGATATGGCAACCCAGGAGCTTTGGGAGCCCGAAAAGTGAATCTGA